AATATAGCTCAAACGAATCTTTGTATAACGAAATCACTCTTTGAGCGCACCTGGTTCCCCTACCTTCAATATATGACTGAGAAGGATTTACTTCCAAACAATCCGGCCTATGCTTCTTGGTTATGTTTTTGAATATAAAATAGTATAACATACCCTAGTATTACAAACTCTGCACTGTATATAACAATATAGCTTTTATCAGTATCCTCATAACAAGAGTTTTTAGTCGATATATATTTATTAGTAACGATTTTTTTTTTAAGTGCTCTTGGATTCAGACATCAATGTAGTCAGAATTTTTTTAAGCAAAGTGTTTACTGTTTGGTATTTATACTCTGCTTGGTTTTGGTATTTTTGATGTAGTATTAAAATCTTTAATAAAAAAAAAAGAAAAAAAAGAACTGATTGTTATACATATCCAATAGATGGGTAAAACATTTGACCTAAGGACCATACACGTCTCGGCCCTTTCAGGCCTTCCTCAGTGGTCAGTATTCCTTATTTTACAATGACAGACATCCAGAAATACATGTATAAAGAATTGTGTGTGAGAGACAGAGACAGAGACAGAGACAGAGACAGAGACAGAGAGAGAGAGAGAGAGAGAGAGACAGAGAGAGAGAGAGAGAGAGAGAGAGAGACAGACAGACAGACAGACAGACAGACAGACAGACAGACACAGACACAGACAGACCAGGTGTTGCTTTCTTATATGCTTTACAGTTATTGCAAGTTTGTATAATGGGCCATGGATAGTAGTTGTGCAAATTCACCAAATTAATCTGGTATCCAATATTCCATTAATCAGGATGTGTGTCACTTCCATCAAAGGTAGTAATCAAGTTCTTAGGTCAAATGTTTTACCCATCTATTGGATATGTATAACAATCAGCTCTGAATGAAATATGTTCTTTGAGTCTGATATTTAGACTATTTCTTTTAACCTTTTTATGTTTTATTTATGTGCACACCCTAATAAACATTTGTATGTTTTTAATATTAATTTACCTGTACCTTGACCCTCTTAGGCCCCGGCCAGACGTGCCGGAAAACGTGTGTGTGTGGGGGAGCGCAGCTATTTGCGCCATCACATTCTGATGCGCTATTATGCGATCAGACGCAACGGTGGCTTCCCCGCAGCAAAGAGGATGACGGGGGAGGAAGCCGCGCACCGGCGCGATCACACCAGGGGGCTTCCATAGGCGGCCCGTGGCAAAGCATTTGCTAGTACATGCGGTATACTAGTTTTTTACTGCGTGGCTTTGGCGGCTTGCTACGGGATCACCACGGGAGTGCTACGCCTCCCAGATGTTCCCGTGTGATCGCGCCCGGATACTCCACGGGACTCTCGTGCCTCCAGCGGGGCAAATGCTCCGTGTGACCGACGCCTTAGATCACAGCTTCATTTTGGGTTGAGTTCCCCCACTGAGCCTGAGGAGGGCGGGGTCTAATGCCATAGAATCCACCTTCCAAAGAAGCCATTTTCTCCAGGTAAACTGATCTCCGTCACCTGGAGATCAACTGTAATCTCAGGAGATCTCCAGCCATCCCCTGGAGGTTGGCAACATGAACAGCCACAGATCGGTAACACAACCGATTGTTTCCATCAGAGCTGCTTTCCCCTCCCCACTTCTACAAGGAACTCAAAAACGTTTCTCCCCCGGGCATGTCAACGGAGACAAGTGAGGACGGCATTTGATTAATTTAATTTTTATTTATTGGCAGTCCGAATTGGAGTTTTTAAATTATGACTTTTTATGGGTTCTATAAATGTTGTTTTATAGCGTTTTATTTATATTGTAAGCTGCCTTGAGTTCTACAAGGGAGAAAAGCGGCAAATAAATATAAATAAGACCAAGACGGGTAGCCGTCTCAGTATATCTGTAGCGGTTGAAAAGAGCATGAGTCCAGTGGTACATTAAAGACTAAAAATAAATGTGGAAGGGGATAAGCTTTTGTGAGTCACTGCTCACTTCTTCAGATACGGGTATAAATAAGTATCTAGAGACATTCACACCAGACGCTAACCTGGGAGAACCGGGTTTGATTCCCCACTCCTCCACATGCAGCTGCTGGTGAGACCTTGGGCCAGTCACAATCCTCTCAGAGCTGTTCTCGAAAGAGTTCTCTTGGCCCCACCTACCTCACAGGGTGTCTGTTGTGGGGAGGGGAAAGGAAAGGAGACTGAAAGGCACTCTGAGACACCTTCAGGTAGTGAAGGGCGGGGTATAAATCCAATCTCCTCCTCCTCTTATATTATCATCATCATCATCATCATCATCATCATCATCATCATCATCATCATCAATCGCCCTATCCCAGCTTACGCCGGGCTCTGGGCAATGTACAGGAGACAAAGTCATAAAATACAAAACATTAAAATACAAAACATTAAAACTCATACATAAGTTAGTAAAAAGTTCAGTATAAATAAAAGATCCAAAATGGCAATTTTCTTATAGTATTATTATCTCAATGTCGGACTACCAGTCCCTTTGTTTCTTCTTCATTGTATACAAGGGAATCAAGGTTCAAATATCAGTTGACCCACATTTCTGATTTGCATGCCATACCTACACTGGCTGTAATGTGTAATTAATTTGAAAATGGCCCAGTCTCACTGTATACCCTGCTTTAGACAAGATTCACATATGCCCAAAAACAGCACAAATAGAAGAAGATAAATCTCCTGACCATTAGTAACTGGATTTTTCTAGAATTCCTGGGGACTATGTGACTTGGTGGCAGATGCCCCAAGCCACTTCTAGGGTATATAAGAAGGGCATCTACCCATTGTTCTCTCTCTTACTTCCTACCTACCTGACCCCACCCTATCTTGCTGGCTCCATTCCGAGCACTGTTTGGAGTCTTCCACGTGTGCTGCTGGCCAACACAAGTCTCCTTCCCTAGTATTCTCCCTATTTTCGCTGCAGGATCACCTTGTCGCATCAGACAGATAACGTATCACCCCATCAATGATACCTTACTGCTAATGCAACTGTTGCTGTATGTTTCTATCTAAAATTCGTAGCTCTGTATTGACTGAGTGTGTGATTGTTTCATTTTATTCTCTGTGTGTGAGAATTTTTAGTAAAGAAATCACTGTATTTTAAGATCAAGTCTCTGTGTCTATTCCTGGGAATCTGGATAAGTTGGACTCCCGTAAGCATAGGTTATCGGTCTCATATTTAATGCCCATTGCTATTTAATACTCATAATTCCCACATTTATTAATAAATTAAGGCAGTTTGGCTAACAACAACCTCATGGCAGAGAGAAACTTCATTGTTCCTTTTCTAGAGAGAACCTCACTTCCTGAAGTTTTTGTGGATAGCGCTGTCCAGGGCTATTTTTGGGCAGGAACGCACAGGAACAGAGTTCCGGCTGGTTCCCGAGTTGGCCACACCCAGCAGGAACTCATTAGCATAATAGGCCACACCCAACAGCAGAAACTCATTAGGATTGGCTACATTAAAGGTGTGTGGCCTAACATGTAAAGGAGTTCCTGCTACAAAAAAGCCCTGGGTTTTGACAACAAACAAGGTAAACAGAATAAGAAGCAAAAGGTGGGTGTGGCTGGATGACCACACTTCTGGTAACATGGGGTGTGTGGCCTAATATGCTAATGAGCTGTATTGTCATGAGTGTGGCCTAATATGCTAATGAGTTTCTGCTGTTGGGTGTGGTCTATTATGCTAATGAGTTCCTACTGGGCTTTTTCTACAAAAAAAGCCCTGGCGCTGTCTCTTGCAGCAGCCATTTTTGTGGCTCCGCCCACCACCGTGTATCAGAATTCCAAAGGTGCCCGGAGGCTCAGAAAGGTTGGGGGCACCTGTTCTGGTAGCAAAGAAAATTCTTGGGAAAGGGCCTGCTTGGATGAAAGAGCAAACATCTTTCTGCACCAGGCATGGAATAAACCACGGGCCTGAGATGCAAACCAAGGGTCTTCCATAAGGGAGACCTTAACCAAAGTTTGCTTGGCTGGGGCCAAAGAGAGTCTTTTCTGCTGTTCCCCACACACACAGAATAATGACCTCCTTGAGGGTTTGTGAACTACTCTGAAGACCTAGCAGAACTAAAGAGCCTTCTGTTTAGACAAAGGGGTCACTATAGCGGTCTACACTAGATGATGGTGGTCCTGGTACAGCAGGGCAAGAAACGGCTTCTGTTATGGATCGTTTTACTGGATTTCTGAATTGGTCGTTTTGTTTTAGAATGTAGTGCGAACCGGACATGGTTAAAAAAGTGGTCTAAAATATACTAGACCAACCAATTAGGGCTTCATAACCCGTCTCCATTCCACTTTAAGAGAGTTAGAAACCCAAGATCGAAGAGCTGCAAGCCAGCTAGCTTTGGCAAGAGGTATTCTTACCCTGCTTTTGCAGCTTGGGTATTTTTTCTCATGGACCAGCACGGCTACTTGCATTTTTTTTTTTGTCCCTTTACCTTGGTGGTTTAAGGAGATGCGACTTGACTGCTCCTGGAATCCTGGTTCCACTAGATCCCGCCGACTGTGCGCTGTCTGATCTACGCTGTCCTGGAACGGAATAGCAGAAATGTTTATTCAGAATGGATCTGAACGCTGTTTAGGTAATTATGAGAACTGCTATCTACTTCATCAAAAGCTTAGAGGAAAACACTGTTTGGATCATCATGACAACAGAGTTGCGATGGACTGCAGGACGCACGACTTCTCCTGAATAGTTCACTTCACACATTGTATGTTAAAAGCAAGCCGACTGTACTTGGAAGTTGAGTTAGGATTGCCATCGTGACGCGTCTGAAGGTTGATTGGAATTCCCAACAATGACTTAGAACTTCCCAAATCTAGCATACTGGTTCTTGGAATCCAGGTTCCACCAGACCCTCCAACAGTGTGACCTACACTGGTCTTGGCCAAAGAACACGAATGGGCAGATAAATGCAGCAAATTGGTGCCTCTGTGACATGAACCTCTCCAGAGGTTTCAGCTGAGAAATTATTTAGAGAAACAAGTATTCAATATTGCCTTATGACCTCTGCTAGGTATTTACTCCACTTCTACCACTCCTAAATGAACAACACCTACTGGTGGAGGAAGGTGTTGTCAATGTTCCCTCTAAGCTGTGGAGTCCTGTGAGCAAAACTTCTACTTTGTGAGCTACTGGCATTAAAGTTGTGAGCCAGCGATTTGGCTGCTGCACAGATTAGTTTGCTCTGGAGCCATCCTTCCTGAGCTAAGCTCACACTAACTCAGCTTAGAGGGACCACTGGTGCTGACTTATGGTGACCCAGTTCAAGGCAAGAGCCATTCAAAGGTGGTTCCCCATGGCCTGCCTCTGCGTAGCAACCCTGTACTTCCTTGGAGGTCTCCCATCCAAGTACTAACCAGGGCCAACCCTGCTTAGCTTCCGAGATCTGAAGAGGTCAGGCTAGCCTGGGCCACCAAGTCAAGGTAAACGCAACCTGCGAGTTATTAAATGCTGTTCGGAGTGGCAACTGATCCACTCGTCCGGGGGGGGGGGGGGGGGGGCGGGGGGCCCGGGGGGGGGGGGGGGGGCGGCGGGGGGGGGGGGGGGATCTGGCGGGTTACTCCCCCCCCTTGTAAGCAGCCCACGAACGAGCAAACAAATATCATCGGACCACTAAATATCATGACCAATATCTGCTTTTACCGCTTTTGTTATTATTTCTGGCCGTCTCATTTAACGTTAGCAAAAAGCAAGTTTGCATGTTTCCCAGTAAAACCGTGTCATATTTGTTCATGTCTTGCGGCTCTCAAACATCTGACGTTTATTCTATGTGGCTCTTACGTTAAGCAAGTTTGGCCACCCCCTGCGCTAGTCAGTTCAACAGAAATCTGTGATTCAGCCAATGTATTCCTACTGCTTTCAGTGGAGACAAGATGGCTTGAATACCCAGTGTAGTCAATCCTGTTAAAGCAGTAGCCTTAGCTCTAAAAAAAACAAATGTGTCTAATTTAATCCACGTCACCTGGCTGCAAATGTTACTAATGGGGTTATGCTTAATATAGCCAAATACATATGTATGCTGGCTTGCGGGTAGTAACACATGTCTACCCAGGGGTCATTTCCTGCAGGAGCACACAGGAGCAGAGCTCCAGCAGAAGAGGAGGATGATGAGGAGGAGGAGAACAAGAAGAAGAGGAGGAGGAGATTGGATTTATACCCCGCCCTTCACTTGGAGTCTCAGAGCGGCTTACAAACTCCTTTCCCTTCCCCTCCCCACAACAGACACCCTGGGAGGTAGGTGAGGCTGAGAGAGCTCTGACACAAGCTGCTCTTTCAGGAACAGCTGTGCCAGAGCTTGTGACTGACCCAAGGTCACATCAGCAGGTGCAAGTGGAGGAATGGGGGAATCAAACCCGGCTCTCCCAGATTAGAGTCCGCACACTTAACCACTACACCAAACTGGCTCTCCCCAGGGGGCGGGCACATGCAACAAGCCCCACCCCCTGCTCCCAGCAGCCCTCAGTCAGAGCAAGAAGCAGCCAGGTAACTTGCAGAGCCGCCGCCCCCCAGTCCAAAACAGTCCAGTGGCACCTTTAAGACCAAGTTTTATTCAGGTACAAGCTCTCCCTCCTCTGCAAGGACAGATTTGCACATCCCCCTATTGAGATATATGTCTACGTAATAAAGGTAGCAAGCAGTTACTAGATCAGTTTGATCTAGTTGACAGTCCCAGCTGTCATGCTAAGTGATTATAGCCAGGTGTTATACTAGCGGGTGTTCTCTATCAGGCATTGTTAGAGTCGGTAATTAATTCTCCTTGTTAGTGATTGGCTAGATTTAGTATATTAGCTATCAGCTTGATAAACTAGGTGGGGACTTAGTCTCTCAAACTAAGGCACGGTATGCTGTATGATAGCCTGTATATCTCTGTGTATATATTCACCATTATATCTATATAAACTTTCTATGCACCTTCATCACCAGTTGGTCTCCAGCTTCTTATTTACTACACCCAATACCCCCCCCCCAATAGCTAGCAATCCAAAACAGTCCAGTGGAGCCTGAGCGGTGGGTGTTCCCTTCTGACATGCTTCCGGTGATGTCAGGGGGTGTGGCATATGCAAATGAGTTATGCTAATGAGTTATGCTAATGAGCTCCTGCACTTCTTTTTCTACGAAATGACCCCTGTGTCTACCTGTATATGGGAAGGCACAGAAGGGAATAAAAAGGAGGGAAGATTCATGGATGGACACTGAGCCAATTTCTGGTGGGACCACCTAGCTCCTGTTAGGATTCTCACACATCACAGCAGGTTAGACGGACCTTGGCCTGAGACACTAAGGCACAAATTACATTCTTAGGCAAGAACAAATGCTCAGGATCAGTCCACACAGCGTAGGGATGATGTCTTAGCTGTTAAGAGATCAAGAATCTCTTCTTGTTTTGCAAATGTCACACATGTATTATGGACTAGAGCAGGGGTCCCCACTGCAGTGTTCCCTCTAAGCTGAGTTAGTGTGAGCTAGCTCACAGTTTTTTAGCCTCTGGCTCACACATTTTTGTCTTCGCTCAGGAAGGAGGGCTCCAGAGCAGACTAATTTATGCAGTAGCCAAACTGCTCACTCACAACTTTAATGCTCGTAGCTCAGAAAGTAGAATTTCTGCTCACAGGACTCCACAGCTTAGAGGGAACATTCCTCAGTCTTTCCCAGCCTGTGGGCACCTTTGGAATTCTGATACAGGGCGGTGGGCATAACCAAAAATGGATGCCACTGGAGGCAGAGCCCCCCTCCACCCACACACACAGAAGAATCCCCAGCGCAAAGGAGAAAAGGGGCAATTTTTTTTAAAAAAAGTAACTGAGAAAGGAGTAAGAGGCTGAGAATAAAACCCACACCGTGGTGGTGGCTGCTGCCGAAACATTATTTTAATCTGCGTAGCCAATCAGATTCCCAGCGGCCAATCAGAAGCCCTGCTGGAAGGAGCCCCACCCACTTGCCAAGAACACTTGGTGGGCAGGCACCAGGGAAGGTGCTGGTGGGCCATGCTGGGGAACCCCTGGACCAGAGGTTCTAGTAAGACTAAAACAAAACTGCTCTCAAATGACTGGAGCAAGCACTTACCCCACCAGGAAGTAACTAGAGCCTGTCACTCACAGTCTGCTATTAAGAGTGGTAGAGAGTGGGGAAACCTATAAGTATGCTCCAAATTGCTTGTTTACCAATGTGCTCCTTAAGCAGAACTACCTCAGACTGAAACACATCTGGGCTGTTGTAGACAGGAGGAGGAGGAGGAGGAGATTGGATTTATACCCCGCCCTTCACTACCCAAATGTGTCTCAGAGCGGCTTACAAACTCCTTTCCCTTCCCCTCCCCACAACAGACACCCTGGGAGGTGGGTGGAGCTGAGAGAGCTCTGACAGAAACTGCTCTTTTTCAAGAACAGCTCCGACAGAACTACGGCTTCGCGCAAGGTCATCCAGCAGGTGCAAGTGGAGGAGTGGGGAATCAAACCCGGTTCTCCGCGCACTTAACCACTACACCAAACTGGCTCCCGTGACCACCCCCCCCCCCCCCCGTCCTCATCACTGCACCAGTGTGGTGTTGTGGTTAGAATGTCAGACTAGGATCTGGTAGACCAAATCCCCAACTCCACCTTGGACCACTCAGACACTCCCAGCCTAGCCTACCTCATGGGGCTGTTGTAAGGATAAAATGGAGGAGAGGAGAATGATGTCAGCTGCTTTGGTTACCCGTTTGGGAGAAAGGCAGGGTAATACATGAAGTAAACCAATCTTCCCCCCCCCCCCCAGGCTGCAAATGGAAGCTATACTGAAAAGTCTTTTGAAGATCCCAGGGATAAAAATTAGGCATCATCTTTTGGTTTAAGACACGGGTGCTCAAGAACAAGGCACTTTGGCAGTCAAAACCAGACTTCATCCACAGAGCCAATCTTTCCAAAGGGAGGCAAACGCAGTAAGAGATATTCCCCAAAGCCCCAAGTATATGAAGGTGTCTGCTGTTCTTCAAAAGCAGGCATTAAAGCCAAGCGGTAGTTGTACATATCCCATCCGGTTTCGATACTGAAGCATTTTCCCAGGCTTCTAAATGTCTCTTGCAGAAAGATGGCTGCACGCAAGCAGTCTAAAACCCAAGAAAAGCAGTGGTCACCTCGATCAAATATAGTCGGGAAAAGCAGTGACAGAGAGGAAAGGAGGCTGCTCCACCAACTGTGGTTAAGAGGCTGGGGACTAGGGATGCCAGCCTCCAGGTGGGACCTGGAGATCCCCCGGAGATCAGTTGCCCTAGAGAAAATGGGTGATTTAGACAGTGGGCTCTATGGCGTTGTAACCCAGTGAGGTCCCTGTCCTCCCCAGGCTCTAACCCCAAATCTCCAGGAGTCTCCCAACCACTGGCAACATTACCCCCCATGATCCCCTGCCAGTGGCAGTGGGGGGGGGGGACACCTGGCTGCCCTACTGGGGACATCTCCAGAAGGTAGCCCTCCTCCACACACATAAATCCCCTCTCGCGTTCATGGTTTGCTCAGAATACCACCTGCAAACCTGCTTCTAACCACAGAAT